AGGCTGTTTTTCATGCTTAAAACTAAATCACAACAGCCGAATGTGTAAATCTTTTATAAAATGTTTAATATGTTCACGAAAACATTATCCAATCATGTGTCCTGACTTAGTTCAAAGAAAAGATTTAACTAGTACTGATAATTCTAAAAGTCAAGATAATAATTCAGTAAAAAAACGTATTAACAAGTAATATTTCTTCACAAGTACTATTGCAAACCATTATTGTTCAAGTTGTAAATAATAATAAAGTTAAGGTCGTTAGGGCTTTGTGTGATTCAGGTTCACAGAGATCATATATTGTAAAGCATTGTGCCAACGAATTAAATTTACAAAAATCTAGAGAAGAAATTATAATACAGGGTGTTTTTGGAGGACAGCAATCATCTCTCACCATCCATGCAGTCTATGATTTTACTATACAAAGTCTAAATAATAATTTTAAAGGTACAATTTCTGCTTTAGAACAAACAAAAATATGTAACTATATCCCAAGAATCAAGGATATGGATTGCATAGAATATTTAAAACAGAAAAATATTATAATAAATGACGCTGCCGTTAACAATCCACCTGATGAAATAGAATTGCTGTTAGGGGCAGATATTTCGGAACGCTTCTTACTGGCAAAACAGAAATACTCAGTAATGGTTTAGTTGCCATAGAGACAAGACTAGGTTGGACGATTACAGGTAAATATTTTGAAAATAATTCCAACCTGCACCTTTTTTTCTGGGTTTTCTGACTTTAATTTAGTGGACTTATGGAATTTAGATGTCTTAGGAATTAAGGATCCAATAGAAGTTAAGACAAAAGAAGCTCACGAAGAACAAACAATAAAGCATTTTAACGAAACGGTGATCTGCAATGACGAAGGTAGATATGAAGTACATCTTCCTTGGATAGAGGGTCATCCGAATTTATTCAGTAATATGCATTTAGCGCAAAAGAGGTTAGTATCTACTACTCAAAATCTTTGAAGAAAGAAATGATAAAAGATTATGATGAGCTGTTACTTTTGTGGGAGATTTGGGAATAATTGAAACAGTAACAGATAAGAAGTAAATTCTACTGATATACATTATTTACCACATCACGCAGTATTCAAAGAATCGAGTACTACAAACCAGAGTACGGCCTGTATTCGACGCATCAGCAAAAGACTCTAATGGTAATTCTTTAAATGCCTGTCTTGAAAAAGGTCCAAATTTGTTAGAGCTCATACCTCCTTTAATACTAAAATTTAGATTATCACGTATTGGAGTAACAGCTGTTTTTCAAGTCACAGGTATAGATTTGGCTGGACCCTTATATCTAAAAGAAGGAGGCAAAGCTTGGATTGTTTTATTCACCTGTGCAGTATACAGAGCGGTACATTTGGAATTGGTAAAATCTCTTTCAACTGATAGTTTTATAATGGCTTTAAGACGATTTTTAGCAAGAAGATCCATAGTCTCAACTATATATACGGACAACGGTTCCAATTTTGTAGGTGCCAGTAATCTTTTTAATCAAATAGACTGGACTAAAATCATTGAATATACGAATATAAAGCAAATCAAATGGATTTTCAATCCACCTACTGCCTGTTGGTGGGGAGGATGGTGGGAGATTATGGTCAGACTAGTTAAGGATATACTTCGAAGAAATTTAGGAAGAAGTTCATTTAATTATGAAGAGATAATGACAATTTTGTGTGACACAGAAGCCGTTGTCAATGCCCGACCTCTTACATACCTTTCCGAAGAAGACAACTTTATTCCCCTAAGTCCCTCTACCTTCCTAAATGACATAGGGAGTAGCTGTGAAGTATCTGATTTGGACGCTATTGATCGAACCTATTTAGTTAAACGTGTGAGACATATACAAAAAGTTCGAGACAACATTAGACAACGATTCAGAAGAGAATACTTAGCTAAACTAATCAACGTTGTGTCATAGAAAACAAAGTTCCCTAAAGGTTGGTGATGTAGTTTATATCGGAAATGACAGTAAAAAACGTGGAGATTGGCCTTTAGGAAAAATAATTGAGGTATATCCAGGAAAAGATAAAGTGCCCAGAGTAGCTAAAGTTAAAACTATGAATGGGAACCTCATTCGACCATTTCAGAGGTTATTTCCACTCGAAATATGTGAAACGGATTCTCAAGGGTTAAAAACACGTTATCTAGAAAAACATCCAAATTTAGAAGAAAGAACGGCAGAAAATTCACAACACGAAGAAGAAAGAAGAGAGAAAGGAGAGGCGGAAATCAGACAAGATAAGAAATGCAAGAAAGAAAAACCTACAGGAAACATATACCAGATCCGGAAGACTTTCAAAATTGCCAGTTCGTTATGGAATTGATACTTGAATATTCACCATTTTCCAATCTATTTTCCAATCTTGGAAAAGGGGGGAGAATGTAGGAAATAGTTATTTTATTGTTAATTTGTTAATAGTTTATATATCCCGAAACAGAATCACTCTGTAGAGTGTAAAAATGTCAGACTGATTAATTAATTTTTATAAAAAAGTCAACGAAATATACTATTGAAATATCGATTTATCTTTAATTACGTTCCCATCTTTACCCCTCATCAACACCCACTTCTGAACTATCTTCCTAATTTTATGTTCATTGTGAGTTTTCTTCTATGAAATCCATTGAATCCTAGTTAAGTACACGATGAAGTACAAATGTCGTATCTACTTCTTGCTACATATTTAGATAAGAAATAGTCCTTTCACGTTATTGGTTCAAATATTTAACATATATCGAGTAGCCATAAAAGTGTGACGTAATTTTGGTTCCACTGACAGTTAATTTGAACCAAACTTCTAACAAATATTTAACCTGTACGTTTATACTGCTTTTATTTTTTTATTAAATATTGTTTGAAAGTCGTAAAAAGTGGTATAAAAGTATGTAATTGGTTACTAAATGAATATATACTAGATGCATGTTATTTACTTATTCTATATCACTATATATTTATTTTTACAACTAAACATAAATATAGCTTACTTGATATCAATGATGTTAATTTACAAATAAATGGTGAAAAAATCGCAATAGTCCCAACTATCAAGTATTGAGGTATCCAATTAGATAATCTACTTACTTTTAATGATTTCTTTAATTATATTAATAAAAAAAATTTGAAAAAATTATATTTCTTCTCTAGAATTTCAAATAACTTGTCAACTTCAACTAAAATAACAGTATATAATACAATTATTCAGCATCACTTCTATTATTGTGCCTCCATTCTTCATTTATTTAATCTTAACAAGTTAAATCAACTTCAAAAACTACAAAATCGAGGCTTGCGCATAATATTAAAAACTGATCGTCTTACACCAATTGCCACAATGTTAAATTCCCTTCAATGGTTTTCGATTCAGCAAAGGTACTTATATACCTATCAACAAAAAAATCAATTAATTAAACTTTACCAGTGGCTTATAACACGGATAAGTAACATTTTAATCCCCTCTAAATTTTTAATTATTTTAATTTATTTGTTTATTTTGTAATCTTGGATTTCTTTAAAAATTTCCAACAAGGGGTACATGATTTATTTAAAATTCGGGAAAAAATTCAAAATTATAGTCCAAATAAATGTTTGGAGGGTGCCGTAAAATTTAGAAGGAATGAAAGTGTTACTTACCCATGTCGTACGCTTCTGGCAAAGTTTACTTAACCAAATTTTTTGCTGATGACAACAAAAACGTTTGCTCAGTGCAATTTTATAAAAAAAATCACAATTACCTTTGAGAGTGAATATCTCGAGAACCAATCACTTTATGAGTTCCCAACAACAGTACATTATTTACTTAAAAAACATCAAAAAAAATGTAAAAGTATAGTCCAAATAAGTTTTCGAACAGTGGCGTAAAATTTAAAGGCGATGAAAGTGTTACTTATCCGTGTTGTACGTCACTAGTAAAGTTTATTTAACTGATTGTTTTATTGATAGGTGTATCTTATGAAACCAACAATGTTTACCGAATTTAGTAAAATTATACTGAGAAATAAAAAAAATTATGGCCATTAATAATTTTCGAATTCTCAACTTTAACACCCTATATTTCGGAAACAGTAATATTTTATCCAAGTATGTTTCGTTTAATCGTCTTATGTTTAATCAGAGAATCTTCAGTTGTTCTGTGTCTCATTCTTAATGAAACACCCTGTATTTGGTTTAAAATGCATGTATTAGATACATATTAAGTTACATTTAGAAAATTAGTCATAGGATCCAATTTTCATCAACAAGAATTTCGAACGAGTAGCTCGAGCTAGACATTAGGTCAAATGAATAAACGAAAAGCAAATTCTTTTACTTAAAATTGTTGAAATGGACTTATGCAGAATTAAAAGAAACAAAACAGAACGCTACTAAAGTATAAGCATTTGCTTCCTTTTATTCATCTGAAAATACCTACTTTGACCGAAAAAGATATGCGAACTCATGAATCACCCTGTAAGGTCCATATATAACTTCCAACAATATTTAAGGCTGATTTTTGGTGCCCATTTTCAAAATCTAGTCATAGGATAGGATTGGGCCAATGAACACTTTTGATGTAAACATCAAGTAATTTAAACACATTTAAAATACAGACATTTTGACGATATTCCCGTTTGCATAAGAAAAGTGCGTGGTCCTTTACTAAATAAGGGACAAATTTAAAAAAAAATAGTGGGTAAATAAATTTTGTTTTTATAGTAAATTACTGTGTGCTAAAAACTGTTTTAATTTAGGTTAGAACTAAAAATAGTATGTGATCAAAGCCATAATAACAATAAAACAACTCTTTTGACTTTTAAACGAAGCCGGTGTATGAAGGACCAAAATATTTTGTTTTTTAAATTCATCTGAAGGACTCGTTATATTTAATACATTTTTTTATGGAAATATAGGGACTCTTATTTTCACTAATTTTAGTATTAAACTTAAAGTAATACAAGACAATTTTTGTAAAACTCTTATTTGGAAATAAATAAAATTATTACCGTAGCTACGAGAACAGCAAAACACCCCACCAAAGGGAGGACCGCATTCGACCACATCTCCGACTGACTATCGTCACCTCAATTCATCACTTCCACCACCGAAGATTAAAAAAAATATATACAAAAAAAAACACTCCTCGAAGAAGGTTTCCACCGGTTGTCACCACGTGCGCGTCACCATCATCGCCGAGAGCTGGTGCTGAAGAGAATCAAGAAAAAATACACGATCGCAGTTTTCGAGTTTCTTTTAAAATGTCTTGATGCCGAGCGTTCTTCCTACTGACTATCGGTGCGGCTGGTCTGCCACTGACGATAAGCGGCCGAAGCGGGACACGCCGAGAAGTGAAAATTTGTGAGCTGGTGCTGGGTGCTGGGGCTAGAGCACTAGAGGACAACAAACAACAGCATCACTCGCGAGATCGAAGATCGCAACGTTACTTCTTCTTGCGAGGAAGAAGACGTTGGTTGCGTCGGAGGCGTCTGAAGTAACGGAATCGATATCGATGCTATCAAATTCGAAGTAATATCTGTAAATTTGAATATCAATAATGGCAATATTTACAGCTATACTAAATTAATTTTTAAGAAAAAGCGTACATAAACAAATGCAGGTAAACAGGTGTGCCAGGGTGCATTAATTATAGTTGATCTGGGCTACATTAAAATCTATTATGATTAACAATTGGCGTAGGCATTGAGTATAGGATTGAACAAAGAGTTGTATGGTCACCAGTTTCGAAATTTAAATTACTTCATCTTCAGGCACACCTAAATGACCACATTATGGTGATTTCAGCTTTATTGCGACAATATATAATTACCTATGGGCATCATCCCAACCAGCAAACTAGCTTTATAATTTTTAGTTTATTATATTTCTGTTTCTGAAATGCTAATTTGTTTAACTAAAATTGCAGAAATCACTATTTTGTTCTCTGAGAAGATACTATTGGGTGAACTCTTAGTTTTAAACCTCTTAAGTTTACTTAAGTTTATAATAAAGACAAATTGCTGGTTGGCTGAAATATAGCTAGGTGCAATGCAAACTAACAAAAAAAGCTAATAAGTAAGAAAAAATGGATTCAGAAAATGAAATGTTTTGATGCCGCCAGAAGTGAAAGAAACTGCTGAAATTGCGTCACTTAATTTTTTAAAATGTAAGTGGAATAAGTACTCCAGTACTCCATAATTAGGCTGAGCGCTTTCGGCTTAAGAAGCCATCATCAAAGCCGTCGTATCTGATACCTATCACATTGAATCAATCAAACAATACATTTAGTTGTTAATAGGTTTGTTCCAACTTGGTGTTTGGTACCGTTCTTGTATCATACCAACATCAGTTTATGAACGATGTACTGCGCAAGCCCATCTCTGAATGGTTTTGGAATCGAAAATGAGTTGGAACGCTTTTAAAACTGCTGATGGTTCATAAATAGATAAGATAGAAGAGGAAGAAAATTCTAACCAAACTTTTCGAAAAGAAAATAAAAATAAACTAGTTTTCTGTTTTATAATTATGGATGTTATTGATTTTTTATTGTATCATTCTATATTCTAGAGCACAATGGAAAATATTGGTAAATAATGAATATATTCTGTTAAAATAATTTTGTTTATTATCATTTCTCAATTTACCATTAATTCTAAATCATCGTCACTAGCATCATCATCAAAAAAATCACTGTCTCCTTCTATATCACTCATTTTCCAAATATGATTTATAAATATTATTTTCTAAATAAAAATGTATATTTTGTTATTATCTACCTATAGAAACATAAAAACGTTGTAAATTTGTAGGTTAAGTTAACTAAAACTAACCTCTATCGGCTCTATCAACATATATCGATCGCTTTGCGCAAGTCAGTTCTAACAGTTCCACAAAAATTTGTGAATCGATATGACGGTACAGAAACGATTCCGGAATCATTCATTTTTTAGTTGGAACGAATTCTGTATCAACCCGCACATCGTACAAATTAAGTTGGAACGCTTGGAGTGTAATACGCATGCGCTGTACCGTTACGGAATGGTTATGTATCAAGTTGGAACAAACCTAATAACAACAGATACATTTATAATCGAATTAAATTACGGGTTTCGAACTTACATTAAATTGTAATTAGATGAAACAAAATGGAATCTATGTATTTTGAGGTGGTCTTTTCGAAAAAAGGCAAAACAAAATGTAGCAGTTTTTCGAAAGTGCCGAAATTTTGGATTTTGTCAATTTTTCAATTTTGCGCAGGCGCATGTCGAAAATAAATCAATATTTTTAAAACGCAGTTTACGACATTTGAAAGCATAGGAAAAATGATAATTTTTATGTCTCTTGAGAAATTTTGATCCGATGCACCGTTCTCGCGGTATGGACGATTGAAATTTGTTTAGTATTTTGAGGCGACGAAGGTCGAAAAATTGAATTTGTTAAATGTTCAAACACTAAATTCTTCATAACATTGGTAAAAATTAAGATATTTGAAAAAACAAAAATGCGTTTTGAATTTAAGGGATGTGTCTAGTGATTTCCAAAAGGGGACAAGAGAAATCCCAAAATTCAAAATTGGGCATATGGCGGAAGGTCAAAGTGTACCGCGGTCCTAATTTCATTGTTTGCCTATAACGGTCAAACTATTTGAATTTTTTTAATGCCACTTACAAAACTTACTCTTAAATGTGAAATCGTATGTGTATGTGAATTTCACCTACATCGGACCATAATTGGCTAAGATATAAAACAATTAAATAAATTTTTTTTCTTAAAAAAAAATAATTTTTTTTTCTAAAGTTTGAAGTGGCACAAAAATGCCAAAAATGCACCCAATGGCTCAAAACTTTTTTTTTAATACTCTATTGTGTCTAAAATACCACTGTTCGTTGAGTGACGACCAAAAAACACGGTTTTTGAGAAAAGTTGCCTAAAATTGACAATTTTTAGTGTTTTGGTCTGAAAATTAAGCAAACCCAAATCTCATGTCTTCTAAATGTATATACAAAGTTTAAAGTGTGTATGTTTCTTCTAAGTTGTAGAATTCTCCCGACAAAAGTCCCATTACACGTGCTCCGCGGGATCCAAAACTCGTGTATACACTACATTACTGTAAATTGATTTTTTTGCGATTTCCAGTTTTAAATTTCTTACATATCTAAATTTATTAGGCTTAAAATTTATTAAAATGTATTTTACTGACTTGTTATAAGACGTTTCTTGAGTTTTGTTCAAAATATAGAATTACCGCCAAATTAGCCGCACGTCGCATCAAGAATAGTAATGGTCTCGGCGTTCGCTATCTGACAAGTTTAAACTTCAAACGGTCATATTTTTACAAATTGAATCGCTTGATAGTGTTCATCGGCATAGATTTTTAATAACCGTGTTCAGCAAGCTCTGTGTACACGTGGCTTTTCGAACTTCTTCAGCAATTTATTGATTAAGTACGTTCCTAAATTAAGAAAATTCTATCACAGTGCTATAATTTTTTGTTTCCAGGTTGCAATGGCAATGGTGTTTATTATGTCATCAGACACTTGCAGAGGGTGAACTATTGCAGATTTGCAATGCGACCTATGACATTCGAAATATAACCGAAAACTACGCATTTTTTGTGCGTAGGAAATTGCTCGTAAAACGAGTGGTTTTTTCTTAAATCCAACATTTTCCCTTTTTTTTTTGAGAAAAAACAAGCACACTGTCGATTTTTTCCGTAATTTGGGCACTTTACAGACTGAAAATATATTAGAATCAGTAAGTTTAATGAGAAACAAGCTTACTTTCTCTCCCAATTGCCAGAAAATTCGAGTAGCTTCAATTCTCGCGAGAATTACCGATCTTTGCACACGTGCGCTCAAAAAACAGTGGATGCTAGAAAAAATGTATATGCCACAGTTTTTCGTGTCTTTTTTTTTTCTCTATCATCTGATGGAAACAGTTTTCTATTCAGATAATTAGTTTTCGAGTTAATTAAGAAAAAAGTACGAGAAATTAAGAAAAAATTGTTTTGCAATTTTTTTCAAAAAGTTCGGAACGTAACTAGAAAATACGTATTTTTGTCATGCATATATATCTTCTCCCATTTCAAGTTTTCTTGTAAATAACTAAAAACCAGATAGAGAACAAAAAGCAAGCTTATCACCAAGTTGGAAGTTACACTCAGGCTTAGGATTAATTTCCTAACATTTTTAAAGTATACCTTTTTGTGTATTTTTTTGTGCTTTTTTCGATGGCGAAGTTAGATTTTTCAAATATATTTTTTTTGTTAGATGTTTTCGGAAAACCCGGAAAAAATCATATGGGGAAAAAAATAAAAAAAAACTACGCCTTCCAGTTTCCTGCGAATTCCCGAAAAATTATGGCAGATTTCGCCGCGGGACTTATTTTATTTGAGAGCCAACAAAAAAAATACGCAACTTCTCTCATGGGCACATACTTATGTCTAACATTTATAATTTCGCCAAAAATTCATCGCAAATTTCATGTCCATGGTTCTGATCAAAAAAACGAAAAAACGACTTTTTGGTAAAAGCACTTCTGGCGGCGAGAAATTCGCCATTAAAACTACCTGTGCAATGAATTTCCGAACTATTTTTGCCTCCTCTTTCGAATGGTGCATTTATTTTTACTATCGGAATGATACTTGCCCAGATAATTAGCATTTTTACAATGGAAAATTCCGGAAAACTCGGTTTTTCCTAATTTAAAAAAAAATTGAAAAACTGCTACATCTTTTTTTTTTTTTTTTTCGGAAAGATCACATCAAAATACAGAAGGTCCTTTTTGTTTCATCCAATTACAAATTAATGTAAGCTCGAAGGGGCTTTTTTTCGTTATTTAATTGGACTATTAAAACGTTTAGGGAGGGTAAAGGCACCGAATCTCAATTAAACCTTATAAGGGATATAACATTAAATATTATAATAAAATAGATATATCAGACATCATTTATAGCGGTACAACTATCTATTTTATTGTAATATTATTTAATGTTATAACCCCTATAGGGTTTAATTGGGGTTCGTTGCCCTTACCGTCCCTAAACGTTTTAAATGTATCTGTTGTTGTTAACAACTAAATGTATTGTTTGATTGATTCAATGTGGTAGTAATCATAGAGACGGTTTTGATGATGGTTTTCGGTTTTGTTAAGCCGAAAGCGCTTAGCCTAATTATTAATAAAAAAAATTAAATTTTGTACAAACTGGAGTACTTGTTCCACTTACATTTCACTAGTAGTGTGTGCACCACTCTCAGTCTACTTACTTAATTTATTGCCAGAAAAATCAAAAAAATTATGTGGCGGCATATGAATTTATCTTAAATTGGACCAAGGAAAAAAAAAACTTTTTCGGAATCTATT